GCTTATTCCCTTGTATGGTCCGAGGTCGCTGTTCGCCGGGGCACCGCCTGGCTACTCGGGGCCGCCCCCCGCCAACATTACGCAGCAATACTGCAAGCAGGAGGCTGGACCAGTTCTGTCCTCAACCTGCCCGGGAACCAACCCGGCTCCCAAGATTAGGAAATGCCAAGCTTCCTGGAATCTTGCACTTGGCGTTTGTGACTCGTTAGATTTGTTACTCCCAAAATTTTGAGTATTACGGGATGGTGCCCTGGAGGCGCAGTGATCTGAACACCGTGCTGCTCTAACTGAAAGGTGGGGGTTGGTTGGAACCCGCTGGCCTAAAACCTGGCAGTCGGCTGGTGGAGATTCCAGTTTGAGGAACTCATTTGGGGTCGCCATGTTCAGTCCTCCAGGCTCGCTGGGAGGTGGAATCGTTCGGAAGGCACTCGACCATTAGGGAATGGCAGAGTTCTAGAACCTTGCGACTCTCGGCGAAGCTGCCAGAGTCTAGAATGTTGAGCGTGTAAGGTTTTAAACTTGCCAAGAAGGGAGTTCTGGTGGCCTAGTGGCAAGACGCTGCACTGCAATCACAGAAGTACACGGTTCAAATCCACCAGATGCTCTGCTGGAGGCGGGGACAATCTCCTGTACCAATCAGATCTGATTTGACGGTACACGTAAAAATAATACAATAAAAATTAAAAAAAAAAAACTTGCCAAGAAACAAATGCTGAGATTCGAAAAATGGTGGGCGTCTAGAATCTTGGGCCTCGAAAAATTTCCTCCGAAATTTAGGAGTCTAGGTTCTACATCTTTACAAGTTTTACAGCTCAGGTTCCTAAGGCCCGGCGTTCCTGGGGTGACCCCTCCCCGTCCGGCCTCTTGCTCCGGCACATTCCGTCCTCTAGGCTCCGCCCTGGCCTCCTCCCGCAGCCTCATGGGGACGGAAACATCCTGTGTCCTGCCCAGCAGAGAGCCTGGCCAGGCTCCGGGGGAAATGGCTTCCTTAGTTCCGCCGAGTGACCTCACCTGGGCCCGCCCTCTCAGGTGAAGGGATGGGCTGATGACGTCACTTCCAGCCAGGTAAGTGCCCTGAGTGGCTATTGACTCAAAGCCGCTTCTAAAAAAAGACCCCACTGTCCTTCCCACTCTCTGGCTCCTTTCATAAGGCAGAAAAGCCAATACTCAGTTGTACACGCTGGTTCTTTTTATTTAAAAGTTCCAAAAACGGAAAAAAAACCCACAAAAATAGGCTTTTTAGGTAACAATATATATTACTTAATATATTATTATAGTATATTTAATAATTATTCCATGTTTCCAATATTACAAAAGAGGAAGAAAAATACAAGGGAAGCGGACGACCCAATATATATAAATACTATAAAATCCATTTGAATAAATAAAGTCGTCATAAATAAAAGGGCCCGTTGGTTTAAGGGAGAAGGTGGCAACGGCTTTGGCTACTTGCTTTGGGAGATCTGAGCACCAGGACTCCCCTTTAGGGGAGGTTCCACTAACCCCTTAGAGGTTGGGGACCTGAGAACAGCAAAACCCTGGAGAGGGCAGTGGGGGCCTAATATTCACAGCACATAAAATTCTAGAAGACAGATTTGGACAGGGGAAGAGGTGGGGACCTCACTGCCTCCCTTTAAATATTTGCTATATCTTGTATTTAAGGAATATAGAAAAACACTCCAAAAAAAAAATAAAAAAAAAATAAAAACACACTCCAGTTCCCACTCCATAAACACTGTCACACTTTTGCCCACTGGGGACCTGCCCCAAGGCAGGACTCTTTAGCAAGGTGAGGGGGGCAGTTAAGGACCTATCTAGTTCCCCACAGCCCTAGGGCCCACATGGAGACCAAAGCAGGAGAAATGGAACCCTTTGTTATCCAGCTGGTTTGTACTATGCAGTCACCTGTCACTCAGACACGGAGATGCGATTGAAGATGGGAAGGCGAAGGAAGGCTGCAGGGGCTTGGGATGGCCCAAAAACACCGGCCTCAAAGACAGGTGAGTCAGAGCCCCCCAGGCTGCTGCCACTGCTGGCATATTCATCAGGGTCTGATCCCAGGGAGTGTGCAGAGGGGCTCCGAGCTAGGCTCCCTAGGGGCCCCCAGAAATTGCCAGGAGTGGTCCTCCGGCAGGAGGGGCAACAGGTTGGGGTGGGCTCCCTTCGGGGCACAGGGGTCCCAGGGGCAGCAGAGAAGGCAGAGGGAGAGAGTGGCAGGTCTCCGGCTGGTGGTGGGGGGGAGCTGGAGGGTGAGAAGGAACAGGAGGACAGGGAAGGGCCTGGAAGGCCCAGTGGTGGTGGCGAAGCTCGGCGACCAGACGGCAGGCCTGAAAAACTGATGCTCTGGCGCAGAACATGAGGGTGTTGCCCAGGGGTGGCCAGGTCCTCATTGGGGTTGTGGATGAAGTGGCAGCGAGAGCCATAGGGGCAGGTGCCATTGAGGTAGTACTTGTGGCAGAATTCGGTCTTGTATTTGGGATGGCGACTGGCCTGGCGCAGCTCCCCCAGGCCGTGGGCGAACTGGCACTTAGCCCCATACCGGCAGCGTCCACTCTCTGAGAAGGTCCGACACAGCTCAGTCTTGTAGCGGGACGAAGGGGTCAGAGCTGTTGTAGGCGAGGTGGGTGGAGGCGACAGCTCAGGACCCGGACGCGGTGGCAGGGGTGCGAAGCCCGGAGGTGGTGGCACCCAGGAACAGGCGCGTCCCTCCACCAGGCTGGTGGAGCGGCCTTGCAGGCGGGGGGCTACCGCAGCAGGGCTGGAGTCGGCCGAGCTCCAGGGTCCCCGGGAAGGCCATCCCAGGCTGGACTCCGTAGATGCTAGGTCAGGGTTCAGCGACCGGAGGCTCTGCGGGAGTAGGGGGTGGTTAAGACACTAAAAAAAAACGGGATGACGCCCCGCCCCAGGGCACCTCAAAAGCCTGCCAACCCGGTTTGTGGACTCCTGCCTGAGCCGCACCCCACTTTGGGCCCCACCCGCCCACAGAAACCTGGGGGTTCGAGATCCTAGGGATTTCGATTTATAAGTCTGGGGTTTATCCACCGACTGAAGCACCCAGGAGTCTAGGCCCCCTAAAGCCGCATAGAGGGAACGCCAAAGAAAGTTAGGGCGCACCACTGCCCCCGAAGTGCGGAGTTTCTGGACTTCTACAGATCTGACCCCTGCCTCCAGCATAAATGGAGAAGCCAGGATGATAGAAGAGCAGGTAAAGTGAACCCCGGAGTCCAGATCCCTTTGGCTTAGTTCTCAGCACCATCCGCGGAGGCGGAACCGAGGTCGGTTTTCCCCACGACACTCGGGCTCCGAACCGCCTCCGCTCAAACCCTGCGCCCTACAAAGTGGTAAACCAAGTGTGGGGCCTCTTCCGCCTTCAGATGGGAGAAATATTCTCCGGCTTTTTAATTCCAGGACCACCCTAGCCACAATTAGGGTCAAGACCCGGAAGGAAATCTCACCAGTCTGAGGAGGAACCCAGAGAGTGTTAGTTTGAGAGGGGCTGCGGGAGCTTACCTCGTAGAGGGAAGTGAGATCCATGGAGGCGCGGGCGGCCGGTCGGTCGGCTAGAGAAGGAGAACGGGAGTGGCACACACAGACTGCAGTTGGACTTCAGAGCGGTTTTCTTATAGCCAGCAGAGAGGGTGGAGCCAGTGGGCCAGGGGCGGGTCCTGGAGGGCGCTTCCCGGACGCGCACCCTCTTTAGCTGCGCCATCCTTGGACAAGTTCCTTTCCGGCAGGCCCCCAACCGTGGAGTCCGTGGGCGGGTGTCGGCCCACTTTCAAGACTGAAGCGCAAAGAAAGACATTGGGGCAGAGGCAAGGGCAGGAATCCAGGGGTAACTGGCAAGAGGAAAAACACACAGACACAGAGAGGATGGGCGTGTCTGTGCGATAGAGAAAGGCACACACACACACACACACACCACCCCCCAATGCGCACGCCAAGGGGAAAAGACAGGGTGAAGAAGGTAAGAGCACCCTAAGAGAGAGGCTCAGAGAGATAAGGTAGATAAGACAGAGGTAAGTGGCTCAAAAAGAAAATCAGAGTGAGATGTGAGGGGACACAAACCAGTGATAAATACACTAGAGGAAGGCAGAAGAAACTTGAGGGGCAAAACAAGAACACGGGACCAAGAAGCTTGCATAGAGTCTCTTTCCAGACCTACTCTATGCCAAGGAGCACAGATGGGGAGAAACGTGGGTGTGTGTGGATACGAGGCCAGGACGAAAAAGGGGGCCTCTTTTCCAATTCAGAGTGCCCCTCTAGCCCCGCGTCTTCCAGCAGATGCTACTCTGACTCTGGACATTGGGACTGGACATTCTGCTTAGTTGTCATAAATCAACCAGGCCTGTTTCACACAAGGAGAGACTAAGGCACAGAGAGGTCAAATTACTTGCCCAGCTACTACGCTTTTTTTTTTTTTTTTAAAGTTAGTCTTAAAAAATTAAGACAGAAGCATTTTTCTTGCAATAAGTTAATCTTGTGGGTATGTTTAGATGGTTAGGGCAATAAGAGCCTCCACCACATTGCGCATGTGATGATCTCAAGAGCTTGCGCTTCTCCTTCTACCGCTCTTTTTTGGCTTTCGGCTCTCTGGACCGCCTGTCTCCAATCACATTGCTTTCTCTAGACTCTGAATCGCCTTCTCTGCATAACCCGTGATGCTCCAGGTCTGCCGCACCACTATCATGCTTCTCAGGAGTCTCCAAGTTAGCTACTACTACTCAGCTTTTAAGCAGCAGGGGCTCAGTACCAGTACCTTTGATTATGTTTCCAGGTTTGCCTTGGGAGAAAATGGTGAAGACTGAAAAAGATCTTTTACTTTGGGGAGGATTGTGGGGGAGAGCTCATCATGGTATACAACTTGCGAATGTCACTTTTTCTAGAGGTCAGTCCCCATACTGTCAGTAGCTTATCAAGTGGTTTACCCTGAATAAAAACTCTCATCCTGGAGAGAAGAGCATCCCGTACTTCCCAAGGAAGAAAACTTAATATTTTTCAAGGACTTTTAAGTGCAGGGAGTATAGAAGCTCTGGTGGGTTGGTGGTAAGGAGTTGTGCTGTGAACACAAATGCTTCCGGTTCAAATCCACCAGATACTCCGAGTGATTTACAGCTTCTGAAAAGTTGCTGAAGCTATGAGCTGGAGTAGAAAGCACCAGCATCATCATCCTGGGAAAGAACTCTGTTTGCCGCGTGTGTGTGCATGCACACAATCAAAAGATGGGGGAAGAGAAGATGGGCAGTCTCTCCTCCCTCAAAGATTTACAGCCAAGGAGAGAAAGGATCGCCATGAATTTGAAACTGACTTGCCTTGGCAAGGAGCCTCAACAGTCCAATGGTTAAGTTATCCAATGGTAGTTATCACTGCTGCGGGTGAAAGAAAGATGTGGCAGTTGGCTCCAGTAAAGATTACTCTTGGGGGGGGGGGCTCTGGTGGCCTAGTGGCAAGAAACTGCACTGCAATCCCAGAGATATGCGGTTCGAATCCACCAGATGCTCTGCTGGAGAAGGAGGGGCCATCTCCTCCCGTACCAGTCGGATCCAATTTGACGGCACACACACACAAAATAATAAAATAAAATAAATTAAAAAAAAAAAGATTACTCTTGGGAACCCTCTTGGGGCAGAACAAACTTCACTGCAATAGGAATCTAGCCCTACGGAAGACGGGAAGGGGAGAAATCCTGGTCACTGAGTGCGGTTATAATTGTGGAAAGTTCATTTTTGCAGACTGCGGCTGCTGGTTTGCACAGCTAGCCTGTATTCAGATCTGCATCTCGGAGCACAGGGGGAGAATCCCTGGGGCGGCGCACTCTGGGGCTGAGGGGCCTTCCCAGGCAGGTCCCGTGAGCTGGGCGGCTGTGGTGGCTTCAGGCACGGTTGCGGCCTCCAGCTCTGCCCGTGACTCACTCAAGGGACCAGGAGGGGTGGATTCCAGGAAGCCGTGACGAGGAGGCTCGGCTGGACGCCCGGGTTCCTCTTCTGTAACCAGGGTTTTTGTCTCCTGTAAACAGTCTAGAAACAACGTGAGAGGGGTGGTGCCTGCGGATCCCCTCCCAGTGGGGTTCCAAATCCCAGTGGTAACAGGATGAAGGCTGGCAAACGTGGATGGGGGTCACTGGGGGTCTCTGAGGTTTGGACTCTAGCCACAGTCCTAAAGGAGCAATCCAGGTTTTGATTCCCTGGAGAGCCGTAACATTTCCCTCCCGAGTCAGGAAGCTCTCCATCTGCTGAGTCATCGCCTGAGATCTGAAATGTCTGGGATGAAACAGCCAGACCTCCCTATCCTAGACTTAAGACTGTGGGACCCAGAGATCCCGAGTCAGCCTCTCCTCGCGCACGAGTTCGAGTCTCCAAGCGCCTCCTGCTTCAAATCCAGGAAGTCCCCAAATCTAGTCCCCTCTTGTTAGGGTCAGAATTAGGTAAATGGGGTAGAATGGGTCCGTCTCGTTCAGGCGTGGAATCGGGGCTCGCGACCCCGTCCCCCACCCCCTCTGCTCCTAGGGCCCAGCAGGAGGAAGTTCGCGCCGGCTCCTCCCCTCCCCACGTAGCCAGCGGGAAAATCCGCGGCCCTGGAGACGGCCGGGAATCCCCTCTGGAATGATGTCGGGGAAGGGGCCGGCCGGGGTCCTCTGCCAGGGCGCAGCGTGGGGGCGGGGGGACGTGGGGATCCGGGCAGGGGCGGAAACCAGAGAGGCTAAAAATACTGCGAGCACTTCCGGTCCGGGGGGAGGGGAACGGAGGGCAGAGTTTCCAGAAAAACAAGCGGGGACGGGAAACGCGGGGGTGTGAGAGCGAGTCGGAGCTGTGCGGGGAGGTCGGGCCGGCCGGGGCCACCGAGCCCCCGCACGTGCGTGTGTGTCGGGGACGTGACCAGCGTCACCGGCGGGTGTGCGACTGTAGGTGGCAGGGGACAGTCCTGGTGTGACACGCTGCAGGTGCCAAAGCGTGTGCGGCCCAGGTGTGGACCTCGAGTGTGCCCATTGTGGGCGGGTGCCTCCTAACTCCATGTGTGTATATAGGTGTGTGAAACTGCCTGTGCCTTTGCGGTTGACCGGGTTGTGTAGACTTTAAACATCTCCAGCGTGGGAGTTTAGAACACTCAGCTTTTAATTGCATGTGCAAACTGAGAGCGTGTGACTTTGAGAGACCTACCTCAGCGAAATGGACTGACAGTGGCTAGCAATGAGCATCAATTGAGAAGATTGGGAGGGTTGCTTTAAGTTGGAGCTAAGTGGCATACAACCACCACCTGTGTGCCACTGCAGGCTTTGGAGTGACAAGGTATCTTTTTAAAGGTTTTTAGGTTAGAGTAGGGCTAGAGATCTTCCTCTCTTGTGCTGCTGCTGTCCCTCCATCCTTCAAAGTGCCTGGCAACATGCCCAAAGTATGAGACAGAGCTTCAGAATCCTTGTCTCCCAGGAGTAAGTTGGTTTCAACCCTTTCCAGCACCACAAAGTCAAAACTCTTCTTCTGTCATCCTTAGTCATTGTCCAGCTGATTAACACAGTAACTGGGCAAATGGGGGCGGGTGTGTGTGTGTAAGATGTGTTGCTGACAATAAGATAGACTCAGGTTAGGTCAAGGTTCAGAGCTATTGTACATAAGGTCACAATGAGTTGCAGGCAACTTGATGGCCACATTTTGACAACAACAGTATTAGAGGTATCCTTGTATAACTAATGAACAACCTTTAATAACTATTGTACAACTGTGTTCGTGCCACATGAAGGGACTTCATTGGTGGGACAGGGTTTTAAGTGCACCCATCTGTGAGTGCGGTTGTGGCAGACTCCCCGGGTGTGTGAAGACTCTTCGCATGTGTCTGGGACTGGGTGTCTGTTACAACAGGGTAGGCCAGTGTCTGGACGTGATTCCTTTGTGGCCCAGTCACAAGCAGGGAAACTGGTGAACTTTGGTCCCTGACTTCTGCTGCATGTGGAGGTGGCTGCCCCCCAGTTGCTATTGGTATGTCTGTCCTTGTGGGCAGTGCAGATGCACACGCACCTGACCTGCCAGGGCAGTGCCTGTGCTGGCTTTATCGCCTCTGATAGTGTTGAAGGCGAGGCTGAGTCAGCCTGTGATGGGCAAAGTCTATGATGGGGTGAGAGATAGTTGGTTAAGTGCTGATTTCAGGGTTGTGTATTCATGAGGTCTGGTAGTTCCCTTGGAGAGTTTGTTTGTGGAGCTGCCACCTGCACAGGGTCCCTGGGGCACCATGGTCTTGGGATGGTTGAGTCATACCACCCTCTGTTGGGATAGTGTATGTCTGTCTATCCCCCATGCCTTTTGCCCACAGGAGTGGCTGTCTGGATCATACCTGCCCCCTCCCTGAAGTGTGTGGTTGTTATCGGAGCTGATCAAAGATCTCACTCAGGTCCTCCATGATGTGCTGCAATTTCCTGTCATGATCATATTCCCCTCGTTGTTCTGGTCTCCTGTTAAACATGAGTATGGCCTTCAGGACCTCAGACTTGCGGGTCCCTCTCTGGAATGCTTTTGCCTGAGTTGACATATCTCTTTCAAGTCTTCTCCTGTATCACCTCACTGAGCTTTTCCTGACTTTATCAGATTTTTTTTTTTTAAAGATAACCTTATCTGTTGACAGGATAGCACGTTTTTATATATATATATCATAGCAGTTAGTTCCTGAAACCACTACCCACCCTAAGATCTCGTTTTTATCAATGGTTAACCATTTTCCACAAGCAAATATCACATTTTTTTTTTACTCTTTAGTATCAAGTATTTTGTTATGAATCTTCACCTTTGTTTTCTTCTGATAGCTTTCTATCTCATTTCTCTTTATCATGTTTGCTGTTGCTCAGTGAAGCCTCAGTGCTAGGAGGCAGGGATCTTTATTCTGGGCCTGGGCCACACAGGCTTGCTGAATCCTTCCTGGTGTTTTCTTGTGTAGTGCTGTTTAGCTGTACATTTTACCCCCTTTTCCCACTCCCCTTGTGAATCTTTTTAAAATTTTTATTATTTGTGTGTGTGTGTACCGTCAAATTAGATCTGACTGGTACAGGTAGAGATTGTCCCTCCTTCTCCAGCAGAGCATCTGGTGGATTCGATCCCCTTGTGAATCTCCTCTCTGATTTGGTTTAAGCACTGTTAACTCCTGGGAAGGGGCAAGGGACACACTGTAGATACTTGTGTTGCCCTCTGCCCTGTAAATCCAGCTGTCCCTTTGGCTTCTTGTGTGATGCTGGAACAACACCTCCCCCAGTGCGTCTCAAGCTGGGTCTTCTATTTGGCAAAGGGTTTGTGTTTGCACCCTAATAGCATCACATCAGGGAGAACAGTAACATTGTTACCGTATACATCTGGAGATGAAACTGTGTCCCAGTAAGACCCAAATTGTCAACCTGTTATTGCATGCCTGACTGTGTCTGAACCAATGGTAGGTTTTCAGAGGCAGGCAGGTTTAAACTGCATAGACTACCCATCTTTATCCCATGGAGCAGGTGGTGTATTTGAAATAAGTGCCACTCCATAGCATTAGGCCACAAGCCCTAATAAATAGACTAGGTTATAGTTGTTATATAGTAATTTTGTTATTTAAATCATGCAGTGTTCCCCTGTTCTGTATGCACAACAGCCTCCTAATCCAGGTAGGCAACATCATAGTGGAGACTGGAACTGTCCAACATCTTACTTGGATCCACATTAACACCCTTGGTACCAGCAGTTGGGTAATCAGATTTATTGCATTGGGAAAATCTGCAGTTAGGGACCTCTCCAAATTACTGAGGTGTAATGATGTCAGTTTGAGAACTAAGGTGTGCCTGATTCAGGCCATGGTCTTTTGATCACCTGCTATGTCTGAGAGCTGGACAATGAATAGGAATGACAGAATTGATGCCTTTTAATTGTCGTGTTGGAGAAGAGCACTGAACATCCCATGGACTGTCAAAAGAACAAATAAATGTCTTCTTGAAGAGGGTGTAGCCAGAGTGCTCTTTAGAGGCAAGGATGATGAGGCTTCGCCTCGCACAGGAGTGGCTGTTCCTTGGAGAGGGATATGCTGCTTGAAGGAGTCGTCAGCACAGGAGAAGACTCAACCAAGTAGACTGACCATGGTGACTGCTGCAATGGGCTATAGTGTGTCAGAAGTGTGAGGACTGCATAGTTTAGGCTAGGCCAGGGTTCAGATCCACTGTTCATGGGGTTGCTATGAGTTAGACTCAACTCAATGGCACCTTATTAACAACTAGGTGTTGTTATTTTGTAAAGTCCATGGTAATTGGTGGGGGTATGTATGTTTGATTCAATTACATGAGCAGAGCTGAGGCTTCCCTTGAGAAGGTCAGTGTGTGGCTAACTTCAGTTTGTGAGTTCATCCCACCCTTCCCGACAACCTACCCTCATGAGCCCTGGCACTTGGAGAAAGAAGCAGAAAGGGGAGGAAAGCCCAAGATGTATGTGTGCCCATGCTCAGACCCCCATATATCCTCTTGGTCCTTTTCTAGGACTCTGGCATTGGAGTGTCTTTGCAGATGTCCAGACCAGGAGCCCATCCAGTCTTGCCTGTCAGCAGGCAAGATGATGGGAACCAAGGCATAGGTGCTGGGTGAGGCAGTTCCATCAATGCTCCTGAGTCACTCCTTTCACACCTCAACAGCTGGGCTTGAGTTGGGAGCTCTGCCTTGCTCCTCTAGAGCTCTCCGGGAAGCAGGGAGATTGGTGGACCGCTCCCTCTCCAAAGCCCTTTTCCTGGAACCAGGTCCCAGGGACCAGGGTCCTTTCCCAGGACTAACGATTCATGGTTTTTTCACTTCTCCTTTAGGGCTAAAAATATAGGGACCCAGGCATCCAGCTGAACCAGGCCTCATCATGGCTTGCACAATGCCGTGGTCTGAATGCTGCTGACGTAGAGCTGGGCACAAGTGGGGGCTGCGCCCCAACCAGCTGTGCCAAAGTTAGGGCCTAGATTTCTCCACTTCCCCTTTCTTGGGTCAAGGATGCTGGGGACTGGGGTAATCTCAGAGGTGGGAGGACAGTGGGCTTGTCTGTGCCTCCTGGATACAGAGCACCTTCCTGTAACCCCAAGTAGTCCACGTGCCCAAGCTCCTGGAAAGTGACCCCCTTTGACGATATGGTGTCTCATGAATTGATAGCAAAATATGGTTGAAAAAGAGATTCAGGAGTAGAGCCATCCAGGGACAAATTAAAACAGAATGAGAGAATATGTGAGATAAAACCTGAAAGCAAGAGGGGGTCAGACACATGAAATGTGGACAAATATTTGAAACAAACCATCCCCTGCCTCTAATTGGACAAGATCAAGGAGGGAGAGTAGCCTAGCCAGGGTTCCCTGTCAAGGCCAGGTGGGAGGAAGCCAGGAAGCATGGAGGTATCAGCACACTGTCCAAAGTCCTCTCTAGACTAGAGAGACTGGGGGTGGGGGTGTGACAGAAGAGGACAGCTCTGCTTTCTGTTGACCAGCCTCTGCTGCCTCCTGCTGGTGCTAAGAACAGAGACAAGATTGCTAAGGGTTACCACTGTTCATTCCCAAGACCTGGCTGTCCCCCCCATTCCATATTCCCCAGTTCAGAGGGGGCCCCCAGGGCCTGTAGGTGGTGCAGGCGTCTTGCCCGTGACTTTGTTGGCACAGTCCAGCAAAGCAGTGTGAATATCCTTGGCGCAGGCAATCTGGGTTTTGATGACTGCCAGGTACTGAGGGTAGGGCAGGCTGTCAGGCTGTACTGCATCTGGCTTGGTGGCTGTGGGCACCAGGGTTGGCGAATGCTTAGCACTGTCGCAGCTCTGGGACAAGCACTCGTGTGCTAGGCGCTGTGGGCGGGAAGGTAAGGGCATGGTATGAGTCTGGCTCTCAGTACTCACATCCTAAGCCAGGGTCCAGCCCAAAGCCTGGCTCTGCCCATGGCTTGCTGGGTAGCTCCAGCAAGTGGTTGTGTGCCTGTTTCCTCCTTTGGAAAATGAGCTTAATAACCACCTTTGCCTCCCTCAGGAGGTTAAGACAGGCATCCTGCCCCATCATTTAAATGCGAAGAATGTTATCTCCGTATTATTACTCTTCCCCACTCCTTGTTATTCCTATGATCGGGTCCTAGCCCCAGGATTAGAATTGTCTTTGGCCTCGCTGATGATATTCCCTTGGGAGTTTTCTTCCTCTAACTGCTCTTTCTCTACAAATGAAGCAATTCTCAAGCCCTATCTCTTTTCATTCCTCATAGCCTCCCTGGCAGACTGCACCCCCTTCCCCCAACAGCACCTCAGTCTCTACCTCTGCATTAATGATCAAGTCACTGTCCCCAGCCTGGCCTTTCCTCTCCTATCACTCCCCCTTGTTCTGGGTCCATCTGTCAGGAGCAGCTCAAAACTCCAAACCGAGCCCTAGACCTCACGTTGGAGCCTCCTTCCACCCCACAAGCCTGCATGTACACAGGCAGGCCTCTCGAGTTCCCTCTTGCCCTTTCCTTCCTCATGGGCCCTAGCCTATGTGGAGCTTGCCTCCTTAGGCTCCCAGAGATGGAAGACTGTCAGCCCTTCTAGCGTGAAATACTCCATGGCTAGGGCCATGTTCAACTTCTAGAAAATCTCCAGTGGCTTCCAGATAGATTTCTTAAAGTTCCCACTGTGAACTACAAAGTTCTTGCTGATTGGAACACTGTTCTACCACTACTAGGCTATTCAAATTCTGACCTTTCCTTCAAATCTGATTCAGAGAAAAAACAAACAATACCTGGTTCAGCAGTTCCCTCAACTCTTGTCCTTCACCCGGTCTTTCTTATGGCCTCAGCTCAGCCTTCCCTTAAGCACCTCCATCCTAGCCAAGGTAGCTCAGGTACCTTTCATGCCCCTTGAGAGTCCTGCATTTTAACCCACTCTTTTGCCTGCACCTCTCTCATCCTAAAACTAACAACCCTGCCTGCATCTCTCCATAGCCTCACCCTCGCTGCCTGTGCCTCTCTATCTAGGCCTTGACACCCTTACCTGCCCTTTCCTCATCCTAGCCCTGGCTTCCCTACTTGTGTCTCTCTCACTGTCCCTGCCTGCACCTTCCCCGCACTATCCTGGTTTAGTCCCCCTGCTTGTGCTTCCTCTATGCCCAGCCACTGTGGACAGTCATTATTCAGAAATAAGTATTTGATATCCACTTGGCTAGGAGGACGAGGCTGAGAACACCACCAGAATTGAAGCACAGGCCTGGTCCGGAGGAGATGTTGCGTAAATAAGGGTTCTTGAGGGTGGGGGACTAAGGCAGAGCTGTGGTCACTGGGCACCTTGGTGGGGGTAGGGCTCTTACCAGGCAGAGCTCTAACTGGTCACACAGTGCATAGAATTCCTCCAGGCACTTGTCAAAGCGCTGTATGGGTCCATCGCTGCTCTTTCTATGGCCCAGGAGAAGAGAGTCATTGAGGAGTGGATTTCGAATTTTGGGGTGTCTACTGTTCTGAACAGGTATGTCTTAGAAAAGGTGCAGGCAGAATACTCCTTGGAGGAGAGGATGAAAAAGCTTTGTCTCTCCTATTATGGTCATTTTGCTAGGAGAGGCTAATAACTGGAAAAGGCTATCAGGCTTGGAAAGGTAGAGAGTCAGTCAACGAGAGGAAGACCCCAATTGAGATGAAATTGACGACAATCGGCTCAAGTGTATCAGAGATAATGAAGATGGCACAGGATAGGATGGGATTTAGGTCTGCTGTTCATAGATTTGCTATGAGTCGTACTTGACTCAAGCACCTAACAACTGACAAGTATGGAGCTGGCGGCTTGGTGGTAAGGAGTTGTGCTGCGCGAAGTTTGATTTCACCAGCTGCTCTGAGGGAGAGAGATGGGCACTCTCCTCCCGTGCAAACCCACTGGAGGATCAGCTACGGGTCAGATCCGACTAGACGGCACACAGCAACCTAACCAGGTATCCACAAGCAATCAGGAAAAGGCCAAGAGACCCAAGCACGGCCTACGGGACAGGTCACATAGGTAGCACACACAAAGGGAGAAGGAAGGGTGCTAAGGGTCATGGCTTGAAGGCAGGAGGAAACTTAGGCACAGGCCACTTAAATCCCAACGCTGAGGTGAAAAGAGGGGCTGTACTCACTGGCCGTTGTCAATGTTCGTGTTCTGAATCAAGTTCTGAGCCGCAACTTTCATTAACGTCTGGTTTAAAAAAAAAAAGGAAAAAAAAAAGGAGCAAAATGGAAAAACTGAAGGGGACGCTTTTTAGGTAGCTTTATACCCAGTTCAACAAGATGGGCTGACATAGTACCTATAAGGGGCTCGAGCATATCAGCGTATCTTGAGGACAGCGCGGATAAGGCAAGGTTCAGATCTATGTAGTTTAGAGGGTTGCTATGAGATGGCACCTGCCACCACCAACCACAATACAAATTCCCCGCAGTAACCTGGTGGATCTCCCCTTGCTCACAGACCACGGGAAGAACCTCCGTACAAGCCAGTCCTCTTTTTGGCTCCAACCACCAGAACCCGTTTTCTCCTTTAAACTCTCTCCCACTCGGGTTACCGACCAATCGCAGACCAAACCTGTGCTATTAGATTGCAGAGCTTTGTTTTGGTCTCATCTCTCGTCTGCCTTTCTGGGCTCCGATCCAAAGGGTCTCTCGGTCCCCGCCCCTCTGGATCAGCCAGCCACATCCTAATCGCCGCCCAGCAGCTCCCGGCCAACTTACCTGTAGACTCTCCTTCAGCTGCGGGATGAGCATCTTGTAGCGCTGCACGGGATCGAAGTCCTGTTGCTGTTGCTGCAGAAGCCCGCTCTGGGCAGGTCCTACAAGTTGTGCCGGCGGCTGTGGCTGCTGCTGGGCACCTGGGCCGCCAGCTGACCCCGGGCCGGATACTCCAGCGGTTGAGGAAGTCGCTGAAGAGGGTTGCTGGGGCGCAGCCATCTTCCTCGGTTAGCCCGCCAGAAGTGCGTCAGACAACGTGTCTCCTGGCTTTTGTGGGATTTTTTTAGCGTCTTCAATATTTCTAGGCCCTGGTTTGAAATTTAGAACCGCCTACGAAACCGTCCAGCCAATGGAAGAAAGCAAGCTACGCTATTACCTCCCAGTTAGAACCTGGAACTCGATGGCTAGATTGTTATTTTTACACCAATCACAGGCGAACACTTCTCCATGCCCCACCCTCTGTCGTGCTGCTCGCTAATCCGGACGTGATTCCATCACGGACTCTTATTTCCCAGAAGGCCTTGCGGCGTGAGGCGCTGGGTCGGGTCCTCAGCGTCTTGGCGGCCGTTGGTGGAGCCGAAGCTGCGAGTCCGTCTTTGGCGCTGCCTGCACGCTTACCTGCACTTCATCCGGAATTCTCTTCAGCCCACTCTTCATTTCGACCTATTCACTCCCCGCGGGGGGCGGCGCCAGACCGCCTGGCCTAGGATCGGGCGTCCGTCGAAGTCGGCACGCCCCTCTCTTTTCCCCGCGGCACAGCCTGGACCTTGTTCAGGCCGTTGTCGCCTCGTCGCTATGGCGCCCACGATCCAGACCCAGGCCCAGCGAGAGGACGGCCACAGGTAGGCGCCACCGATAGTTTTCCAGGAAGTTTGATGAGGCTCGAAGGGGGTTCTCAGCACGCGAATGAGCCTTCTACGTCATCAGCCCCTGGGTGTGACAATGACGTCACCGAATAATCACCTTTGGGGAAGGGGGCGGGGTCTCTAGGCACCTTTTGGGAACGGGCTGCAACTCCCTTCTGCCATTTAGTTCAGGGATGCAGCACTGTTCAAACGAGACTGAGTTTTTAAGATCTCTCCATTTATGCGTTTGGAGACTTCTTTTTAAAAAATAGTTAATTTAGGAATGTGATTCTTGTTATGGCCCCATTCATTGAAGCATTTGGAATTTTTTCTCAAAAGGAGTACTGAATATCCCATGAAAAATAGCCAGAACAGTTTCATGTGTCCTGGAGAAAGTACAGTCAGAGTGCTCCGTGGAGGCAAAGATAACAAAGCTTTGTCTCATACTTTGGGCATGTTGCTAGGAGAAGCTTTTCCTTGGAGAGAACATCATATTTGCAAAGATGGTGGGTCAGCGAGAGACTCTCAACCAGGACTGACACTGTGACTGTGGCAGTGAATTCTAGTGTGGCAGAGATGAGGATGGCACAGAATAGGAGTGTTCAGACTTGTTCATAGGATTGCTGTGAGTTAATTCAACTTGAGGGCACCTAACCACCACCATGTACAAAGATTAAAGTACATGGCTTTCTTTAACACCATTTGAGGTCAGCTCTTTCAAAGCGGATAAAGCTTTTGACTCTCTTTTTTAGTAAAAGGGTAGAGAAGCCACTTACACTCACATCTCTTTTCCACACTAGGCCTAATTCCCACCGGACTCTGCCTGAGAGGTGAGCCCCCCATGCTTTCCAGGAAGGGGGCACAGAGGGAAATGGAAGATTGAGGTGGGGCTCAGGGGTCTGGTCTTGAGCTCTGTGTTCACAGGTCTGGAGTGGTCTGCCGAGTCAAGTATTGCAATAGCCTTCCTGACATCCCCTTCGATCCCAAGTTCATCACCTACCCTTTTGATCAGAACAGGTGAGGCTGAAATCAGGGATTAAGGGAGCAATGCAGTAGATTAAGGTCAAGGTGGAGACTGCTGCCCCCCCCTTAGGTCAAGAGTAGTATGTCTGTTCATTATTCATTGCTGGAAACGACTCACAGCTGACTCTTCGGTGGGTTTCCACAGTTTAGATTATCCTTCTTTCTCCCATTGATCAGCTATTGGATTCAAACTACTTGCCTTGAATTTGGCAACACAAACTCCTTATCCCCTACGCCACCAGAAAAATATGTAGTAGGTACTTAATATATCTATGAGTAAGCAGTTTTCTCCCCCCTCAGGTGCTAGCTTTCTGACTCAGTTTGGAGAGGGACGTTCCATTCTGAGTTCCGTCCAAAAGGAAGCATCTTGGGAGTAGGGATGAGGGGTAAAGTTGGAATGAAGAAACTCTAATGGGCATGTTTCTCCACCAGGTTTGTCCAGTACAAAGCAACTTCCTTGGAGAAACAGCACAAACATGACTTACTAACCGAGCCAGATCTGGGGGTGACCATTGACCTCATCAACCCTGACACATACCGCATCGACCCCAATGGTGTGTGGTGAGACAGGGTCCACTTTAGGCAAGCTAAGGTCAGGCCTAAGTTTCCCTTATAATCTTTCTGCTTACCCTTTCACTTTCCTCTAGTTTCCCTAGATCTGGCTGATGAGAAACTTTTGGAAGAAGAGATTCAGGCTCCTACAAGCTCTAAGAGGTAGAGGTTATCAAAGAGTGGAGGGCTGAGCTGGGTTCTCCAAGCAGGAAGGCAGTGAGGTCCTGAGGCCCCAATCCTCTGCCCCAGATCCCAACAGCATGCAAAAGTGGTGCCTTGGATGCGGAAGACTGAATACATCTCCACTGAGTTCAACCGTTATGGCATCTCCAACGAGAAGCCTGAGGTCAAGTAAGTTGTAGCTAGATAGGGAAGGAAGGTGGAGATTCTGGATGTGCTCTGTGGCCCCCTAAAGCTCTCTGTCATCCCTCCTAGAATTGGAGTTTCTGTGAAACAGCAATTCACTGAGGAAGAAATATACAAAGACAGGGATAGCCAGATCACAGCCATTGAGAAGACATTTGAGGATGCCCAGAAGTCGGTAATTCAGGGGCTGCACTGGGAAGACTGTCGTGGTTCCAGAGCCTATTGTCCTCTTTACCCTGCTTTTGTCCCCATCAGATCTCTCAGCATTACAGCAAGCCACGAGTGACACCAGTGGAGGTTATGCCTGTTTTCCCAGACTTTAAGGTTAGATCCAGGGGTGGAGGCTGAGGACAGCCACAAAACAAGGTTGGGGACCAAGGCCAAGCCTCCCATCTCTGCCTATTCTAATCTAATCCCATGCTCTCCATCTATTTAGATGTGGATCAACCCATGTGCCCAGGTCATCTTTGACTCAGACCCAGCCCCAAAGGACACAAGCGGCGCAGCTGCACTGGAGATGATGTCTCAGGCTATGATCAGGTAAGTGGCCTTAAGATGTCCATTTCAGCCTACTCTATTGCCCCTTTATCCTCACTCTTCACTGTTTCTCCCAACTAGGGGCATGATGGATGAAGAAGGAAACCAGTTTGTGGCCTACTTCCTGCCTGTGGAAGAGACACTGAAGAAACGAAAGCGGGATCAGGAGGAGGAGATGGACTATGCACCAGATGATGTGTATGTGCTTGGGGTTAATTCTGAGGCTGACAAACGTGTTCCCTTTTCTCCTTCATATTAAAGAACAGGGTTGATTTTATACTTTGATCTCTAGGTATGACTACAAGATTGCTCGGGAGTACAACTGGAATGTGAAGAACAAGGCTAGCAAGGGCTATGAAGAAAACTACTTCTTCATCTTCCGAGAGGGTGATGGAGTTTACTACAATGAATTGGAGACAAGGTACCCAACACATTTCATCTTGGATCAGTATGGGCCTCTATTGTCATCCCATGGCATATGGGGTTATTTGTACCTAAGGATGCCCTTGTAAGCAAGAGCAGCAAAAGCTACTCACCTGTGTGGGTTGATCTTTTTTCTAACATGAGTAGACAGAAGAAAGTATTTTAATACTGGAGACATTTAGGCCTTTTGTGTGTGGTAGTTATTGGCAGTTAAGTCACTTCGACTCCTGGCAGCTTTGCACGTGCTGGGAAGTGTTAGGGTCCATAGGGTCTTAACTCTCTGGTCTTCTGAGGGTTGTAAAGCCTTTTTTCCTTTGTGTATGGCAAATAGCCAGATTTCTCCTAGTATTAATGAGATTTCACATGGAAGTAAAACAACTAAGGTTTGAAACGGAATTAGCATACATGTTTTAAAGGAAACAGTGGAGTACCAAGGCTCCAAAAATTCTTCCCTGATGGCTAAAAGTTCATACCTTTGCTTTGGTGCTAGTAACTGTTGTGTTAGTTAAGAATAGTGAAAGTGTGAACTTTAGTTTGAAATTAAAGGATCACATGTTCTGATCCTGTAGGTTAGGAAGCAGTGGGCTGCTAGGATCTGGATAACCTGAAGCTCTGGCCCACCTCTGAGGCATCCTGACCCAGCTCCAGCCTGTTGGTCCACTGTTCTGTGTGCATGAGTTTGTGTGTACACATGCTAAGGCCCAGCACAGCCATAGATTCCTGGTTTCTTCAGTGTTAATTCATGTTTTTAAAAGATGGTGTAGAATACTACATCTTTACCTTGGGAGGCATCCTTGCCTTATGTGGTCCTCAAGCACTGAATTTTAATATCCTTTATTTGACCTCATTTTGTCCAAGCATTGATAGGGAAGTAAACCAAGGCAGACCAAACCCCTCACTTGGGGTCTTTAACCACACCCTCTGCACACTTCCCCTACAGGGTCCGCCTCAGTAAGCGTCGGGCTAAGGCTGGGGTTCAGTCTGGTACCAATGCTCTGCTTGTGGTCAAACACCGGGATATGAATGAGAAGGAACTAGAAGCTCAGGTAATGAGAACTGTTATGCCCAGGGAACGTACATAGGGAAGGTGGTGGGGGTGAGGAGTGGACAGTGGTCCAGCAGTGACCCTCCCAATCTTGCCATTTTCAGGAGGCACGAAAGGCCCAGCTGGAGAACCATGAGCCTGAGGAGGAGGAGGAGGAAGAGATGGAGACAGAAGAGAAGGAAGCTGGGGGCTCAGGTAAGGCTAGTCTGACAGACCAGAATCCAGGGACCTTAGGAGAGTAGAAGGGACTATATCTCACTTCCCTCTTCCTCACAGATGAAGAGCGAGAGAAGGGCAGCAGCAGCGAGAAAGAGGGCAGCGAAGATGAACGCTCAGGCAGTGAGAGCGAACAGGAAGAAGGTGACAGGGATGAGGCGAGTGACAAGAGTGGCAGTGGTGAAGATGAGAGCAGTGAGGACGAGGCCCGGGCTGCCAGAGATAAGGAGGAGATCTTTGGTAGTGATGCTGATTCGGACGATGCCGACTCTGATGATGAGGACCCAGGACGGGCCCGCCGCAGTGACAACGATTCGGACAGTGGCAGTGAAGTGGGTGGCCAGCGGAGCGGTAGCCGCAGTGCCAGTCCTTTCCCCAGTGGCAGTGAGCACTCAGCCCAGGAAGATGGCAGTGAAGCTGCACCTTCAGAATCCAGTGAAGCTGACAGTGACAGTGACTAAGTCTCCAAGGCTTCCAGGGCTGGCACAGACACTGCTGTTATCGGCAGGAAGGCACTTTTCTAGTGATCTGTTTGTTCTCCCAACCCCAAATTTTGCTCTTAATAAAGAAAACTTCCAGCCCAGTTCCTGTGTTCTTATTCCACCTGATTCACCATCCCAGCTGCTCCTGGGCTTTAGCCTCAGTGGGCCACAGGGGTCACAGGACTGGATTTTCTATTAAATGTAGCATAACAAAGGTCAGAATCCTTTTTTCTTCTCTCTTTTTTTTTCTCCAAAATAAGCCCAGACCATTAAACAAATGAAACTCCAACAAATAAGTCTTCTCCAACAGCGAGAAAAACTGTACAGTTACTCAAAGCTGATTCTGCCAGTGGGGCTCCGGGCAAGGGAGAGTGAGGGTGAAATCAGAGTGAGGGTTCCAGGGCTGGGAAGGGGAACAGGAGAGGGTTTGGGTTCTGCCCATCAGAGTGGGGCCGCCTGCGTCCTGCACACTCTGCTGTCGGGCAGTGGGTTGAGGGGCCCAGCTTTTGCCTCCTTTTGTGAGTGTGGGGTGTCCCTCACCACCTCCCAGTGCCAGTAAATCCTGACCAGTGAATAAGATGGGGATGGCTGAATGGAGGCAAAGGTTCCAAAGGAAGAACACCTTACTGTTTCCAAATGAGGAGGCCCCTGTCCCTGCTTCTAGGGGTTAGCAGGAGGGGAACTAGAGATGCCCTGGGAGCTTGAGGGGAATGAGCAAAGGCACAGAAACATGGAGGGGCCAGGGTGGGGGACTTGCATAGGTTGATGAGTGTGCAAGAGGTACATAAATAAACCTGACACCCCACCCAGCCTGGCACTGGGAGAGGAGGTGGGGACCTGGAGGCAGGTTCCCAGGGCCGCCCCACCCTCTGGCTCCCTCGACACAAGCTGAGGGAGTTCCACAGACCAAGAGGGCAGGGGTAGGAAGGTCTGGGGAATGAGTGAGGGTACAGGGAGGGTGGTGGTTTTTAATTCCCCCCCCAACATTTTGTATCTTTAATAACATACACAATGGTTTCCAGCCATATTCATAACAAAAGTTATTCATAAAATGTATCTAAAAATAACATTTTTTTCCTTTTCGGTGTGAAAAGCTTTGAGAATGTCCCAGTGAGGGGGGTGAGTTGAAAAGGGAGAAGGGGCTGGTAAAGGGGGACCCTGGCATCCCCACAGTCTGAACCCCTGAATCTCTTCCCTCCACCTGGACTCCAGCACAACCTCTTAGTAGGAACAGGTATCAGAGATTTGTATGACACAGGGGCTGGCCAGCCCTCTGGGTAATAATAGTGTTCACTTTAGTGAGGTCTTGACATAATGGGGGGAGGGGGAAGGGGGAAAGAAAATAAGGGATGGGGAAAGAAACCAAAAACCAAACAATCCCCTTTCCTTACCCTCAAATCTCTCACCAGTCAAATCTGGGAGTAGAGATGGGATATGTGTCAGTGGGGGAAGGGCACATTAAGGCAACAGACTTCCTGACCTCACTGGCTTTCCTGGCTCCTCACTTTCAACCTCTGTAGCCAAGGGAGCCAGGGCTGAGGGGGGCAGGGAGGAGGGCTGGGGGATCTGGAGGAGGGGGCTCTGCCCTCTCCTCATAAAATTCAGGCTCCCCCTGTCTTGGCTCAAAGAGAGGCCTGGGGATTCTAAAAATGAAAGGGAATGATCAGAGAAAAACCGTTAAGAACTATATAAATATGTATCTTAAATAGGCTTAAGAAATTAATTGTAGAGAACCTCTGATAAACAGGGAAAAAAGAGGTGAGAGGAAGGTGGCTCCTGTCCTCATGAATAGGGATGGGGGGAAGAGGAAGAAGTTGGAGAGGAGAGACAGGTTCCTCTCCTCAGTCCATTGCTTCTAACTCCTCTCAATGTTTTGGAGAACAACTTGTCTACCCCACTCATTTCTCCCGTGTTAAATGCTTCTGAGCAGGCTCCACAAGGGAGTGGGTCAGCTTGTCTCTGGGGGTGTCTGCTCCCTGAAGAGGAGCAATGGTCAGCAGTCTGGAGGAGGCCAGGATGGGACTGGGCCAGGTGGGAATGAGAAAGGGAAGGGGTAGAGAGGCTGACCTGACCCTGCCCCCTTTTTTGTGGCTGCCCCTACATGTCCCCTTTGGCTCAGAAGAAATCCCAAGATGGGCCTGGGAGTGGGCAAGGCGGGGTGCCAATATTAAACAAAAGTTAAGAGGGTGAAAAAGTAGAAAAATATTAGAATGTATAGAGCCAGTCCACCCTCTCGCTGTTGCAGAGGAACCTGATGGGGGTTGGCCCTGCCCGCCGCCCAGGGAGCCCATGGGTACGCTGGGCTCTGGGTCACGTCAGATGGTGGAGGTTTTGTCTGTCCCATCTGTGGTGAGAAAGGGAGGAAGGGAGGATTATCAGGAGCTGATGGGAAGTTTGAGACAGGCACTCAGGTAGCCTGTCACCCCAGCCAGGCCCTCCCTGGAGTCTGGCCTCCCCGAGGGACCCCTCAGGAAGACTCTGAGCTGTTCAGTTCAGAGGTGAAGATGCTGGGTAGGTGGGAGCTGGGTCAGGGGAAGAGGAAATGCTCACCACCCAAGGCGTGTTCTGTCATGCTCAGACACAGAGACTCCAGAGTGGGGTTGATCTCCAGGTCAGGCCCAGGGACCGGGCAGTCTGCACAAAAAGAGAAGGAGAGTGGATGTGGTGAAGATGGGACCAGAGCAGTGAGGAAAAGTCAGGAAGACAGAGCATGGGGATGGGCCCACTTGGCAGAAAACTGCAAGAGGAAGCATATGAGAGATGTCTTGGGAAAGAGAGGAAGAGTCCAGGGGCCTGGCAGAGAAAGCCTACCTGTCATATGGAAAGAGTGGTGAGAAGCTGAGAGTGTGGTTCCCCGGAGTTCACACCCAGGTTCTGCCTATTCTGAAGACAGACTGCATGTTGCCTTGGGTGCAGTCTGGGTATCTGCCCAGACACTGGGCAGCCCCATGCTCCCTGACTGATGACTTGTATGGTACCTGGTACAGAAATGAAAACCCTTCCTGTCCTGGAAATATGGGGCACAAAGGGTTAACAGCCATGAAACTTGTCTTCAAGTTGCCCATCTAAAAAGTCACCTGTTCTGGCTTCTGGGAACAGCCCCACTGCCTCCTGCACCCAGCCCATCTGCCATTTCCTGACAATCTCAGTTCTGCACTGCCACTGGGAAGCAGGTGGTTTCACCTGGCTTTAGAAGATCCTCCTCACCTCTACAGCCTCACTTTGTATCACAGTCCCTCTTAAACCATGATCTCTGGCCGCTATCAGACTGTTTCTATGAATGTTTTACCTTAGTAAAATTTCTCTTTCCCCCTAAAACTCAGACAAGTCACCCCTCTGAGTCTAAGCTTCCTGACTGGTATGGCAATAACATCAGTACTGAGGAACCGTGGTGGCTGACTGGTATTATGGCAATAACATCAGTACTGAAGAACTGTGGTGGCACAATGTTAAGCTCTCATCTGCTAATAGAAAGGGTGGTGATTTGAACCCTCTCAATGACTCTGTCATAGGAGAAAGACCCAGCAATCTGCTTCCATACAGTCAAGAAAATGCTATGGGGCAGTTCTGTTATATGGGGTGAATCAGAATTGACTTGATGGCATCCAATAACGTCAGTGCCACCATATATCCAAGTGGCAGGGTTCAATATAAGACAGAAAAACTGTCATACATGGTGCCCAGCATGCAGTAAGGCAGCAAAAAGTTTTTTGCCTCTGCAATTTACCCATTCATTGATTTAACAACTGTATACAGATGCTGGGTCTTGTAAGCATGGCAGACTGAATCTCCTGTCATGGGAAGATGTAGTCCACGTGATCTTAAGAGTCAAATAATTTGGCTGCTAATGACATGAAGAACTGAGGGTCAATGGCAAATCTAAAGATCTTTCCAGAGACAACCTGTTCCTGACCAGTCTTATCGGTCTCTTTGCCTTGAAACAGGCCCAGCACAAGTTAAGGATTCACCCCAAGATGCTTACAAGGCAGGGAGCTATGGCTAGCACTTCCCTAACTTTCCCTGTGCTACATTAACCCTGATTCTGATTTCCTATCTCCGGACCAGGCAATGAGGAAAGCTAAGGTAATTCTTCTACCTCAAACACCTTTTAGAGTTGAACTTGGTCCACAAGCGTTTCTTTGAGCACACATCAAAGTTCTTGTGTGCTCACTGTCTTTAGAATACATGCTGGTGGACTGAACTGATCATGCAAGAATTCCTATCTCAGAGAACTCAGCACTCTCCCTGTTCCATGCACTCAACCCTGTTAAACTGAGTAAATCAGCCAACACAGACCCAAGAATAGAAGATGGGGAAAGGAAACATGCAAATGGTGGGGGAAAGAAGTGAGAAAGTTTGATTCAGAGTGAGCAAGTGAAAAAAGATCTTGAGAGAAATAAGTGAAATAAAGGGGGGGAAAGAAGAGGAAGAAGCAAATCAAAGAGCCTGAGAAAACCCAGGCTAGAGGAAGTAGGTGTAGCATGGTGGTGTGGTGAACAGAAGTGGGAGAGGTATCAAGCAGTGAGAAAGGATGGCAGGCCACAGACCAGACCAAGGCTAGGCAGGGAGGGTATTCTGAGGAGTCCCTGGGGGAAGGGAGAGGACTCTTACCTGGAGGAAACATGAGAATGGCCTGGGGTGACGAGTGGACCGGGAGAGAGTGGGTACGCTGCACAGAGCTGCGGCTCTGACTGGGCATGCTGTTGCTGCCTCCAGGGTTGGCAAACCACAGATTCTGCATAGGGCATAGGGATGAGAGAAGAGGGTGAGTGGGAAGAAACCTAGGTGTGGTGCAGTTGCAAAAGGGCCCCTATCCACTAACTCAGGTCTACATAGAAACAGACAGGCATCTCAACTCTAGAAGCTTATCAGACATTGTCCTTAGACCAGGCTCACCTGTCGGCCCTGGCCTCCAAGGCTGGGGCTGGTGAGAGCATGTCGGGGGGAGACCCCCCCAATGCCTGAGGGGCTTAGGAGGCCCATCCTGCTGGGTGGGAGGGCACGGGGAGGCATGGGGAACTGCCGCTGGGTCCTCCGAGCAACTCCCATCCCCACAGAGCCAGCTATGGGGAGTGAGTTGGAGCCGAATGCCCAGCTATAAGAAAACAGAAGGTGGTTGTTAGTTTACGAGAATGGTGCACAACTCTCCTCCCTTTCCTCACCTCCCAACCATTGAAATAATTAAGACAAAGCATGAACCCCCCATGAAGCAAAGATTTTCTACTCCCTGTTTCCTATAGTCTGCCTCCTTTACCCAAGGGCAGAGATGAGAAGAACACAGGTTTCCTCACTAATTTCAATTAAATGTGGTATCGTTATCATTTATTTATGGAGAGAAGTGATGCCAGAGCTCCTTGCAGACCAAGTAAAGAGAACAGGTACATGTAAAAGGGCCTGATCTTGAAGCCGTATGTTGTTCTCTGCCAGTTCAGCATTTTATATGTGTTGACTTCTGGGGCACTTCCTAGTCTTTAGGTGACTTGTGTAAAGTTAACCAGTAACTGAAAGAGGACAGCCTGATTCCTAGCCCAGAATGCAACCACCCCTTTAGTTACCAATCTGTCAGCCAGCAAGAGCAAAGAAAGGGAGGGCTTCCAGTGCCTGGCTGCCTGCATACCCTTTCTGTTGACGGAAGTTCTGCATCTCTAATGCAGCTTTGCGAGGGAATGTCCGGAGGAGCTTTAGTACTTGCTGTTTCCAGGACAGCAGGCGTTTCTTCTGCGTCTCCGTGAAAGCCTAGAAATGTGAGGCAAGGTAGGAAGAAGTACTTACGTTGCCGCACACTTTTAAATTGACGACTGTGCTTAGAAACACATTTTGCTGTCATTTGCAGCAACGTGCTCAATACTGATTTCATGCTTTGTGCTTGCAGAGATTAGTTTGGATGAAGAAGAAAATACACAGGTAGTGACAGCTGTGCTAAGTGCTGGGAGGGAGAAGGACAGGAGCCTCAAGGAACTTAAACTAGTGTAAAGGGTTGGTGAAAGTGTCCATGAGGTATTGAGAGATACCAGATCAAACCTACTGCCATGGGTGATGTGCCAAATGTGACTCATGTTGAACCGCTATGGGACTTCTGAGGCTGTAAATCTTTATGGAAAGAAAGATTTCTTTCTCTTGCAGAGCACTGGTGGGTTCGAACCACTGACCTATGCCACTAGGGGGATATTGTTGTTGTTACTGCCGTCAAGTCAAGCACAACTCATAGAGACCTTAGGAACAAAAGGCCTGAAGCCCCTCTACAACTACAGACATTTATCAAAGTTCACAGAGTTTCTAGGGGTATGTTGTTTAGGAAGTGGATGCCACTCCTGCTTCCAAAAGGGGATATAGAGATTTGAAATGAGAGCTGAGGGGCAAGTAGGAAGGAGAGGACCTGTTGCTTCAAAAAGGAAGATGTACAAAGGCCCTGAGAATATGAAGAGCAGGGCATTTACTTGAACCCCATCACTGGTGAGATGTGAAGCTGGCAGGGCAGAGGATGACAAGCCAGGAGGGCCCTGTTAGACAAGTAAGGAAAGCAATGGGGTATTTGGAGAAGGTCTTACCTCATGAGTCAGGCACTTTTCGATGAGCTGGAGGTAATTGGTGATGTTTTCTTCATCTGGCCGGGACACTAGCAGCTGAGTGCACACTGAGGGTCATTGGGAAAGGCGAGGTGGTTAGCACTCAGGCTGCTCTCTGCCATGTGCCAGCCTTCCTGGACCCAGATGGCTGGTACAGTTTCAGCTTGGTGGAAGGCTGGATAAGCATCAACCAAGCCCCAGGCACCTGGACCTGGTTTATTATGAGGCTATAAGGAGATGGAAAGCACTGACCACGGAATTACCTGTCTCATTTTAATTCTTGCAACAAGTTGGTCAGTGTATAATTTTTAACTTCAGGAATCTGGTGCTCTGACCGGTTAAGCCATTGCTCCAGGTAACAAGCTAAAGGATCTGGTTCCAACTATAAAATACTCTTTGTCATGTTGCCTCAGCAAAGACCAAGACTACTCAAGACTATTATGAGTTTCCATACCCATACTGTGCACTTTGGGTCCCCAAAGAGAGAACTGATTGATTCACCCTAATGTATTTACTGTTTAATTTCTACTTACAAAATGTTCTATTTTCTGCTCAGGGCAGAGATCCTTTGAGGGTGAGGCCTATCTCCCACCATCAGCCTCAGCACTTCCTGAGGGAAGAGGCCTTACCACCTTCAGTCTTGGCATTCTCTGCAGTGTTCTAGTTTAGAGGTTGCTCTAGAAAGCCTCCTTTGTCCCTTAACATGTATTTGGATTCTGAGGTTCATACGGCTCCCTGCCCAAGGACAAATTCTCACTGTGCTCTGGATAGTCTCACCTTTGCCCATCACCCGTGTAAACTGACTGGGGATGTCTCCATCAGCGACAGGAGCCGGAGCTGGTTCGTTGCCATCAGCAGGAGCTGGAGTTGATGGAGGGGGGAAGCTCTCTGTTGAAGGGTCTTTGGCCTCAGTGCCCTTGTCTGTGCCAGAATGGGCCAGGGGAGGCTCAGCACCTGGCAGCGTCGGCTCCCCCCGACTTCCATCCTTGGCAGTGGGGGTGACAGCAGCTGCAGCAGCCACGGTGGCCTGGAGGACACTATAGGCCTTGATGGGGGTGATGATGATTTGCTGCAGCTCCTGCAGAGCATTTCGCAGATTCCCACCTTCCAGCACATCCTGGGTAAGAGACACAGACTAGTGTCACATAGAAAAAAGTAGATAAAGGAACCCATAGGTAGAGAAAGAATGAGTACACATGTGGGGTCAGCAGAAACTTGAGAGGGCTGGGCTGGGCACAGAGAGAAGACATAGGCTACTGTGAGCTCTGCACATTATTTAAGGACACACTCGAACATACACAACCCCTGTTTTCTCTAAAGATGTAGTTTAACAAAGTGAAGGTGGTCTAATGCTAGGGCCTCAGGGTTCTAACAAAGGCAGAGCCTATTTAAGACCAAGACACTGAGGGGTGAAAAACAATAAGACTGAGGCAAGCAGCAAGGAGAGGGAGAATGTAATCCAATGAGGAAGGTACAGAAGGAGAGTGAATCGGAAATAAGTAAATGGAGATATATTATGGACATAGGGAAACACTGCATTCTATCAAAAAGACTAGTCAGAAATGGCGACAAGCTGGGAAAGGAGGTGAATAAAGAAGACAAAAGGAAGACTTTTGAGACATAGACCAAGCCAGAGAAAGGAGCCTGTAGGTCATTTACTAAAACTCTTTGATGCTGATCTATATATTGAAACTCAGCCCCATGGGAGAAAACCAGCAAAGAGGCCACTCGGAATAAGTTGGCTTTAGATATAGTACTATCAAATCCTCACCTTCTCCAGGGACTTAAGGACGCTCTGCCTCTCACGCAGCTTCTGGATGCTCAGGGCTATCTTGTGGCGGGCACCTTTAGTGACATTCTGTGGCAAGAGAAGAAAATAACAAGTTGGAAATAGGCTGAAGTACTTAAGGGTGTCCCAAAAGGGGCTAAGGGAGGGAGGAGGTATTGACAAAATGGTTCTACCCCCATGATATCCCTTGGCATCACCTGAGACTCTAGGTGCTGCTCAGTCAGTGTCATCATCTCTTCATAGCTCATCTGTGAGAAGAGGGCTGCATACTTGTGCAGGCGAAGACTCTTGAGCCAAGAGGGCACGTCTGTGGAAAATGAAGGTGAAAGGTCAAGAGTTTGGCCCTTGTGACAGAGCAGAGAGAAGCTTATAGGGCTGGATCAGACATAAAGCAAAGCCATTCTAAAAAAGCTGCAGGCATTTGGGGGGTAGTTTGGGGTAAGGCAAGGGTCCATGAGTCACTTCTATCTGCAACGCCAGACCCATCTAGGCAGTCTTCCCTAAACCAGACATCCTTCCTGGCTTGGTAAGACTCAGCTCTGCACTAGTTCACTATGTATATATTAAGTTTACTGTGAACATTCTGTAAGTGTTCTTGTAATTTTCTAAATTAACTCTAGGTCCAGGTTTCTTGTTAAACTTTGGTCTGTTGAGGGTGGAAGCCAGATCTCTTTGTTTACTCTAAAGCCCAAGGGTAGGGAGTACGGGCAGGGTGGTGGTCACGGGCTCCCTTCTAGGAGTTCTAAAGATGCTCCTGGAAGAGAGTATAAATACCGCCCTCCTCATGCTGTACCTTTCATGCCACTGCCGTCCTCCTGGAAAGTGTTCCGGTTGGAGCTCTGCTCCTCCGTCTGCTCACTGCCAGAGGAGGCCACGCTGCTCTGGGGTGAGAGCGGTGCGTGGTCGGGCGTGGCAAAGGCAGCTCGGGCCCCCAGCTCTTCTGGACTGGGCCATTCACCAGGGGCCTGGGGGCTCGTGGGGATGAGTGACATGGAGCGCTTCAGCGGGCTGGGGTGGATTTGGCAGGGGAGACCTGGCAAAAGGGAGATAAAAGTAGGAAGGAAATTAGGCTTGGTGGTTTGACCAAAGGTGATCAAGCCTTCCTGGCTCCAGCCCCAGGCCAGTGCCTTAAAACAGTGGCTCAACTCCAGAAATCTTCCAAGGGGAGGCTCTAATAAGATACTGCTTGTCCATCCCCACTGCTGCACCCAAAAGCCGTTTGCAACTTTTCTCACTCTGCTGGTACCCTGATCTAAGCCACTAACACTTGGCACTGGAACTGCTCAGAGTCTCCTCACGGGTCTCTGTCCTTCATTCTCGACTCCTGCAGACTATTCACCTCACAGTAAATAAACTGATCCTTCAAAAAATGCAAATCTGGTCAAGTCAGTCTCCTGCTCCAGTCCTACCTGTGGCTTCCCTTTATGATGATCAAATCTAAAGGTTTCTGCACCCGAGTCCCTACAGAACTCAGTCTCTGCTCATCTTTAATGTCATGACTTCTACCACTTCGCTCCAAGCTCAAGCCTTTCCAGTCCCTGTCCTTGTCCATTTGTTGTTGAAGACCTATAATCTGGTTTCACCCTCAGGGCTTTTGTACTTGCTCTGACTTCCTGTCCTTCTGCTTTTAGCAGCTGGCTCCCTAAGGTCCTATTTTAACCATCAATTCCCAGAGAACTTATTTGACTATACTCCCAGTCCTGGCATTTATTACTGCTTTATCTTCTTCATAGTACCTGTCACAATGTGAAATGTTCAGATTTCATCATATACTTGTCTATTAGTTGTGACGTCCACGAGAAGAGGAAGGTAATGACAGTAGAGACCTATTCTGTCTTACTCTTGTACCTTCAGCATTTAGAATGAGGCCTGACCCAAAGAAGTAGCTTTGTGGTGGTTAGGTGCTGTGAGACTCATTGTGCTTGACTCTACATGTTGAAATTTGTCTTATCCTGTGCCATCCTTGTAATCTCTACTGAGCTTAAGCCATTATTGCAGCCACTGGGTCAATCCATCTCCTGGAGAGTCTTCCTTTCCTTCAATGACCTTTCCAAGCATGATGTCCTTTTCTAGGGACTGGTCCCTTTTTCACATTCATAAAATAAGTGAGATGAAATCTCACCATCCTTGCCTCTAAGGGACACTTTGGCTGCACTCCTTCCAAGACAGGACTTATCAAGTAAGTGAATGAAATACACTAAATCCTCAACACCTGTCACTGAGCCTAAACCTGTCACTGACCCAAAGCTTTTCTCACAGGACATTACACACTCTCTCCTATCCTCTTGTGAGGCAGGGGTCAATCTGGATTTTTAACTGCTTCGAGAACAGGCCAGGTTCCATGGACTTCCACATCACAATGTTACTCCTATGCGCACCTCACTGCTCTTCCACCTTTATCCACTAGCTGCTTCAGTCTGAGAGCTTTGAGAAAGCACTCCCTCTTCTTGATTCCTTCCTTGATTCCTCTTCAGCCCCCTGCAATGCTATCTCAACTTCAACACTTACTGGTCTCCTCTTTGGTTTGCCTGGTTCACTGGACTAGGTTCTGTGGGACAACAAATCCACCATCACTTCTGAATCCCCAGGATTGGGACCAGGACATGGCAAGCAAGAGTCCTCAAAAGCGTCTCATAAAGAACAAAAGGGGTATCCACAATCCTAAAGGTGGTGATAGGCCTCTAAGCTCAACACAGGGAATTCAGAAGTACTCAAAAGTCAGCCTAGAGAAAAAGAAAATGAAATAAAAACAAATAATCTCACCACACAATAGATGAGAAAAATCACCTTTGCCTCACAGAGAGTGGGAAGGCAGGGACAGAATCAGCCAGCTTATTTCTGATGGAAAGACTAGAATTTCTGCTAATGCCCCTCTGATGCCCAGACCAGAAGAAGGCTCAAAGGCACCATTCCTCATCTGTGGCAATATTTACACTCCCAATCAGGAAGTCACCTGAGGGATAGGGCAATGTACTAACTTCAGGGGTTCCATTCCAAGCCCCTCAACATTGACTTCTGTTCCTTCTCAAGAGTACTTGAAGGAACTGGCACACTCTAGACCCTGGGATTCCAGAATACAGGCCCTTTTGCTTGACTTGGTGCCTCTCACCAACTCCTGGGCAGGAGAGACTCAGAGGACAGGAAATTACCCAGATTGGAATGACCGTGCAGTTCCTGAGAAACTGTATCTAGTCCTGCACTAGGGTTGAGGTTGGCCACTGCACGAGAATGATAAAAACAGGTATGCCAGCCAAACACCCAATGCCTTTCAATTTCTAAGAAACTCGTCTGTACTTGGCAGGGCTCCAAACCTACCCGTCTGCCCTCACAGGCCAATCCTTGGCTCCCTACTAAAAAATATCTTAATGGTTTCCTGTTTCTTCCAACTGCTTGAAATAAAAGTGTTTCCTCATGTCCTTGAAGGCACCCTGAGAATATAGTTTTAACTTACTGAGGCCTAGGAGATCAAATCCCAATTTCTGTCACCTATTAACTTCATTTGACATACTTGGGACATGTAAGGAGGGACCGGTCCTTGGAGAGGGACATCATGCTTGGGAGGGTGGAGGGACAGCGCAGGAGGGGAAGACTCTCTATGAGGTGGACTGATTCAGTGACTCGGGTAATTGGGATGGGTGTATCAGACAGCGCAATTGGCACAGGATAGAGCAGGGTTTAGGGCGGTTGTACATAGGGTCGCTATGAGTCACAAGCAACTCGACAGCACATAACAACAACAACATTAACTACACAATCTTGGACATGTGCCTATCTAAGAAATCCTCAGCATAGAGACAGACTTACAGAAATACAGGGTTTGCTATTACTGTTACCTCATTTAAACCCTTTGAATGATAGTGGTATTCACTGGACTTCCTTGTATGCGTATAGGTATTATCCTGTCACTGACAATATTGTACTTCAAGACAGATCTAGCAATGACTTTTTTAACTATGAAAGCAACTCCAGTGAATACCACTATCATTCAAATATATGCACCAAC